CTTGCTAAATTTTGCAGAGTGCACTAAAGTCTCAGAACACAACAGAGCTCCTTTGTTCAGCGTATGCTTGTAAGACTACAATGTTACACAGAGCCACTTACTAGTTTAAAAGAAAATAAGAACTACTTTATTTCAGAAATACATACTGGATAGTGCAGCATAGAGACAGTGACAGTTTCTATTCCATCTAGCTAGTGATGGATGCAAATGCAGAGAGGCATTCTGCATCCATAGTGCCAAAGATGGAGAAATGTGTCCTCCTCCTTTGCGTGCATGCGTGAAGAAAAGAGAGGACATGGAAAAAAGTTGTTTTCCCTAAGAGTAGCAATCTACACATCAAAGGGTTCAGTGACAGAAGAGTAAACAGGAAGGTGCTTAGTGTCTGCCTATATCTGTAACTCCCTGGTCACTTGCTTCTTGGAGGCTGAGGCATCTGGTTCTTCCAACAATCAGAAGGTGGTGGGTGACTACAGAAAGCCAGTACAGAAAACTAGACATTGAAATCTTGTCCAGCAACTGAAGCCACATCTTAGATAGAGAACCATCGTGTAGTGGTTAGAATGTTGGACTAGGATGGAGGAGATTCAGGTTGGAATTTCCACTCTGCCGTGGAAGCTCACTGGATGACCTTGGGCTAGTCACACACTCTCAGCCTAACCTACCTCCCAGGGAAGTTGTGAGAATAAATGGGAGAAGAAGAGAATTATGGAGGCTATTTTGGACCCCAACTGGGGGAAAAGGCAGGGAATAAATGAAATAATATGTAATACCAATCAAAGAGAGGAGGAAAAGCTGTAAGACAGAGAACTAAAAGGGGAAAGAACTATTAGTTAATGCAGGCATAAAGCAAGTATTTAGGGTTGAAGTGCAATGTAACCTTGAGCTCTTAAATGAATGCATGAATATTTTTGATTAGTTAATGAAGTTCCATCAGTATACGTGGTACAGAAACAGGTTCCTACCCCCAAGGAGCTGCATTCAAAGTACAGCATTTCAATGTCGGATCATCAGGACACGAAATATGGAGATTCTGCTGGAAACAAGGCTGCAGCAAACCACAACCTGCTCTTGCAGTTTTCATCAGTGTCCTGTACATAATCAGAATGGTGTCTATTCTGTTCTTAAAGCAAATAGAAATTCCATGATGAAAAACATTGATTTCTGCATTAGAAATTCTTAATTTGGTTAATTAATTCTGCATTTTTGCATGATTTCTTCTGCTAGTTGTGGGGTGAGATGCAGTGCTTATGGCCACCCTTGAAAATATTCTAGCTGCCCACTTCTCTAGCTATGAAAGGGCAGTTGATGTCCGAAGTGGGGCCAGGAGATCTTTCAGAATTACAACTGAACTCCAGAATACAGAGATAATTTCCCTTGGAGAAAATGACTGCTTTGGAGGGTGTGTATGGCATTCTTCTGCCCCACTGAAGTCCTTCCCCAAACCCTTCGCTCCCCAGGCTCTACCACCAAATCTGTAGGAATTTCCCAAACTGGAGTATGTAACCCTTAGCTTTGGAGATTTCTCTGGGAGTCACGTATGCATTTTCAAGCATTTGAGCTAGAAATGTGCGTTTTAAAAACCAAACTCAAATTCTGAGTAAGCTGAATGGTGGTTCACTAGCTACAGCCTGGAGTATAACCCCTTGTAAAAAGATCTGTTGTTTAATCTTGCGGCTTCACTTTTACTTCAACAGTGAGAATCTCTCCCTCTCCAATTGTGGTCGAAGGAGACATGGTAATGATCAGGGACTCATTAGTGATTCCTCTGAGCAAAGGCGACTTCTGAGGTGATGAGGACTGGCCTTTCATATCTGGCTCGACTTGTGCATCATCCTCAGGAACTTGTGCTGCATCTTCCTCTAGCTTGGTTTGGAGTGCAGCTTTTTCTTCTTTTTCTTTTTGTTCTTTTTCTTTTTGTTCTTTTTCTTCCTTTTCTTTTTGTTCCCTTTCTTCCCTTTCTTTTCTTTCCTTTTCTTCTCTTTCTTTCCGCTCTTCTGCTTCCTGAAACAAAAGCAATTAAATATTAATATTCCTTTTCATTTTGTTTTTATTTTACTTCTTTTTCTCTCCTTACTTGTTCTTACTATTCCTTCTTCTCCTGAAACAGAAACAAAGTGTTACTCAGTAATGATGCCTGTGAGGAAATCGAGGCTTCAGAGCTCTGATCATAGGATGGTTGCTAAGCATTATTATTATTTATTATTATTTATTTAATTTATACCCTGCCCCATCCCATGAGTGGCATGGCCTGACAATTGGCAGGAGATGAGGAAGTTGGGAACTTAAAGGTAGGAGGGGGTGATCAATGATATGACATAACTTCTAATTCAACTGGGAAGTTATGTCATTCCACTGTAGTGATGTTCTAACATTTGCACAGAACTCTGTGGTTTATCTATCGAGTTTGGGGTGAATGCTAGAGCATGATGTCACTTCCAGGTCAGGCCAAAAGCTGAATCATTGTTTTGGGGATGTCAATCATGACCCCCCCATTTTACTGGCAGGAGATCTATAGAGCAGGACAATGGCATGCCTAGACCACAGTAAAAAAGGATGATGCGACCTACCAAGCACAGCCAATAAGCAACACATAGTCACTTCAATGTGGCATGGACATTATAATGGAGTCTCAGGTTATACTGATATTTATGGAGGTTGCACAAACAAATTCAGAATATGCCAGAGACTAATTCTCACTGAAAAGGCCCCCAGGGGATAAGACAAGGCTACTTCTCTAGTGGTCTCTATGTGCTGTGGTTCCCACCTCTGTTTTTCCTGATGCCCATATGTTTCTGCCCCAAAGGATCTCTTCCCTGCAGTAAAAGACCAATCCTGGCTTTTCTCCACCTCATTGGAACTGGAGGTAATCATAAGAGGTTTCACTGTGGACCTGCAGATCGCACCAATTCAGAAATAGCTCCCTTCATAGATGAATGTTTAGCTTAAAACCTTCCATCATATTCTGTGTTCCCTCCTGGAAGCTGCTTTGTGATTAGGCTCACACAGTAGCCATTTTGAGGTGATGTCTCCTATGTTTTCTCAACATTTCTTAGCTCAGTATTCACTAGGGTTGCCAGGTCCCTACCTTCTGCTGACGGGGGGACGGATGTTCCTTCCTGGGATCTACCATAGAGTTTTTGGCCAAATGCTAGAGCGTCATCTGGTGATGTGCCCAGTGTGATGGCATCACCTCCAGGTGGCATCATCGTGGCAGGCACTTTGGACGCTGAAGAGCTCTTCGGGGGTAGGGTTCCCCCCGCTGGCAGCCAACCGGCGGGCGGATCAGAGGGGCGGAAATCGGGGGGAAACCCACTCCCATCAGGGGGATGGCAACCCTAGTTTTCAACCCCCCTTTTTAATTAGTTCTTGTCTCCATCCGTCATTGTGAAAAAATGTGAGAACTGTCTTATCTGACTTCAAAGATGCTGTGTTTGTATTTTGGTATTTAATGTTTTTATGATGTGACTTTATATTTTAGTAGATGTTGGAAGCCCTTCTGACAGCCTTCTGAGAACTGAGGAGTAACATTTTAAAAAGTATTATCTATATATGGCACCTCCTATTAAGCTTTACCAAACAGTATTTCATTGCCCTTTCATCTGTTTACAGGACTGAAGTTCCTTACTGTTGGCTGGCCATTGATATTTGCCACCCTCAGGTCCTGCTCATCTGTTTCCTACTCCAAATTGTTCTCTACTGTACCTGCGCCTCTTGTTCTCTCTTCATCTTGATAAGCATGGCAAGGCCACTTCGTCCTTTCCCACCAAGCAGTGCTTTGAACATCTTTGGTGTTTCTTCGTACTTCTTTTCGAGCAGGGCGAAACCTTTTGCTGGTTCAGGTGGTCCTGCAGGTTTGCCCTTCTGCCTCAAGAGCACTCTAGATCACAAGAACAGAAAGGGAAAAACTAGCAACTTGGAGAAGTGTTAAAACTTCTGGAACACCCATATCTTGTTGTAATAGTTCTTTCTGCCTCTGTTAACCTTTCTGAGCCCTGATTCCAGCCAGACACAGCCCTTCCTGCTACTTTTGTTGGGGATTCAGCCTTCCTTTCAAATGAATGCTGTGCCTGGATCTCAGCCTCTGTTTCTATGAGAAATGACCTTGTGGTGCTCATATATAGTAAATTCATTTTCTGTCCCAAGTCACTAGGATTTAGTGCACTAGGATAGACATGCCTATCCAGTCAGGCTTTCTCCTTTGAATTCAAAACAGTAACTATCCTATGCAACGTTGCTTTGTTAATAGCTGTTCAAATTTAGAGGATATATTACAATTCCTTACAGGAGGGTTATTGCATAATGGGTGGGTAAATGTGGCTGAATCCATTCTGGGAATAATCTGGAAAAACAAAATCAATTTCCTATCAAATTAAGAAAAGATTAAAAATTAATCCAGACTTTGTCTGGATCAGGCTGTTGAAATTGACTCCTGGAAATCTGTAGTAGCTGCTTTCACCATTGAAGCAGCACGCAGTCTTGTTGAAGCACTGGGAAAGCATTGATGGGTATTGGAATCCAATAGTGCTTCTTCCTCAGGAGGATAAAAGCTATCCAGAAATTTTAACTCCTGAAGGATGAACACTGAAGATGTTCTGATGTACAAATGTTAAACATTGGAAGAAGTCCTTGAAGTTGGATGATCTAGCAAAAGCCATGTAATCACTCTTTGTTATAAAATATATTTTATTTGTTTTTTAAAAATTCAGCTTGCCTATCCAATTTAGGGTCCCCAAGACTGCAGACAATCAAAAACATTCAAACAAGCTTAAAGATACACCTATAACAATAAAAAATAATTAAAACAATGAAATGCAGGAACACATAGATACGTGAATGGGAAGAAAGGTTAGTGAGAGTCAGTGCGAGAATACCAAATAAAACAAAGATTTTCACTCACTGGTAGAAGACAATAGAATTTACATCTTCCTTTATACGTCAGACCAATTATGAAATGTATCTTTAAATATTGGAATTTGGGAAATACATGCTGTGATGTAGGCATAATATGCCATTTTATTTGCACATTTCTTTGTTTGAAACTATATTTACTGTATCAGTAAATCAGTCCTGAGTTGTCCCTCCTCTAAAATTACTCTCAGCCTGATAGACATTTGGAGAACAAGAAACCCACAGAAAAAGGATTATACATTCTTCTCAACAAGATTTAAATCATGGTCACGCATAGACATGATGTGGTTAAATATAGAACAGGCAAGAGATCTAATTGAAGTGAAAATACTACCGAATACCTTCGCCGATCATAACCCAATGTGGTTGGCGCTTCAAACTGGGGTTAAAAGTACAAGATGGAGACTGAATGTGGGGTTATTACAAGATAGAACTTTTTTGGAAAAACTCAAAAAAGAAGTTAAAGAATTTATTAAAATAAATAGAACAGAAGATGTAACCTTGAATACAGTCTGGGATACTCTAAAAGCTTATTTGAGGGGGCTGTTTACAACCCAAGATATTTGGAAGAGAAAACAGAAAAATGAAAAATATAAAAACCTAACAGAACGTTTAAAAATAGAAGAAGGGAAGCTAAAAAAAGATGGAAATCTAGAAGATATAAGAATAAGAATAAAATTAATTCAACACCAAGTGAATATGTTACTGACACAAGAGATAGCAAAAAAAAATAGAATATGCAAAGGCATATTATTTTGAATCTGCAAATAAACCAACGAGATGGTTAGCTTACAGATTAAGAAAGGAAAATGAGAAAAGAACTATTTCTGCATTAAAAAATGAAAACGGGAACTTAGAACATATGAATGAGAAACTGAAAGAAATAGTGGAAAAGTTCTGCACAAATTTGTATAGTCAAAAAATAGAGGATAAGAGAGAATGCCATGAGTATCTCAAGAAACACAACTTAGGACATTTTTCTGAAGATCAGAAAAAATTGTTAAATGAAAAAATAACAATGTGTGAAATTATGGAAGCGCTTAATAAACAAAAGAAGAAAAAGGCGCCAGGAGCAGATGGTCTAACAGCAGAAGTGTACCAAAAATTAGAAGAAGAAATAACGCCATTATTTAAAGACATGGTTCAAAATATTGCAAAGACAGCTAACATCCCACAATCATGGAATGAGGCTTTAATCACACTAATCCCTAAACCAAATTTGGAAGGATGTGAAATTAAAAACTACAGACCAATTTCGTTATTGAATGTAGATTCAATGTAGATTACAAGATCGATGCCGCAATATTAGCCGACAGATTTAAAAAGGAAATTTCCCAAATTATCCACCAAGATCAATCAGGCTTTCTCCGGAAAAGGCAAATAAAACGAAACATAAGAACAATAATTGATGTTATAGAATATTATGAATATCACCCAGGAGAAAAAATGGCATTAATGTTTCTTGATGCGGAGAAAGCCTTTGATAATGTGAACTGGGATTTTTTAAAACAAAAATTAACTATTTGGAACTGCGGAAATGATTTTTATAATATGATAGAGGCCATATAAGGAGCAGTGGGCTAAGGTTATAGTCAATGGAGAACTTACATGGAAGATCCCTATAGAAAAAGGGACGAGACAAGGATGTCCTCTATCTCCATTGCTATTCATATTTGGACTAGAGACTTTAAATGAAATAGTAAGAAATGATAATGAAATTAAAGGACTGAAGATTAAAGGAGAACAATTCAAACTACAAGCATTTGCGGATGATTTGGCTTATATCTTGGAAGATCCGAAATCATCGATTAAAAATTTACTAAAAAGGATAAGGGAATATGGAGAAGTAGCGGGACTGAAAATGAATATAACCAAAACAAAATTGCTGACGAAGAACTGCAATAAGGAAGAGATAGAAGAGATTCAAAAAAATACCAGTATAGAAATCGCCAAAAAAATCAAATACCTAGGTATAAATATTACAAGCAACAATAACAACCTATATGAAAATAATTACAAGGTTACTATAGAAGGCATTAAAAAAGATTTGTTAAAATGGCAAGACTTACAAATATCATTTATGGGAAGAATATCAACCATAAAAATGAATGTTTTACCGCACATATTATTTCTAGCGCAATGCATCCCAATACTTAAAAATAATAAATTCTTTGACGAACTAAACAAGTTGATAAGAAAATTCTTATGGCAAGGGAAAAAGGCCAGAATAAAGTTGAAACTTTTGAGAAAAAAAAAAACTAGAGGTGGTCTTACTCTCCCAGCTTCATTGGGATGGATAAAAGATTGGGTATTGCTGAATGACAAAAGAATATTAAAATTAGAAGGTTACAATCTACACATGGGCTGGCATGCCTATGTGTGGTATGAAAAAGATAAAATATATTAAAAAATTTCAAATCACACGATAAGGGGCCCATTAATGCAAATATGGTATAAAATAAAAAGAAAATACTATAAAAAAATCCCAAAATGGGTATCCCCTCTGGAGGCTTTTATATTCCCAAACTTATTAGATGAGAATAAAAATAGAACATATCAAGCCCTAACAGATGAAAAAAACCAACTAAAAACATGGCAAGATATCCGAGCGATGAACTTAAATCTTACGATATGGGAAGAGAACCAACTAATTTCAAGATTTACAAAAGATTAAAAAATGGATTTTTATACTACAGAAATAGAATTCGATAAGAGATGGCTGAAAAATAAGGAAAAATCAATACAAAAAATTTATAACTTCCTATTAGAAGATGAAATACTGGAGGACTGGAAAAAACCTACAATGATAAAATGGGAAAAAGATCTAGGGCGGAATATAGATAAGAAGGAATGGGGAAAAACATGGAAGTCAATTAAATTTCTGAGAGCAATATCCTACAGGGAAAATATAATAAAAATGATATATAGATGGCATTGGACGCCAGACAGGTTACAAGATGATGCTGTTAAAGTGCTGCACTCAATTTGCCAGCAAATTTGGAAAACGCACCAGTAGCCACAGGATTGGAAAAGTTCAGTATACATTCCAATCCCAAAGAAGGGCAATGCCAAGGAATATTCAAACTATCGCACAATTGCACTCATATCACACGCTAGCAAGGTCATGCTCAAGATCCTACAAGGTAGGCTTCAACAGTACGTAGCAGTCCCTGACTTGCCTCTGCCTTGCCTCGACCAGGGCCAGGGCTTTTTCTGTCCTGGCCCCTGCCTGGTAGAACATGCTCCCAATCGAGATCAGAGCCCTGTGGGATCTGTTGCAATTCCGCAGGGCCTGTAAAATGGAGCTGTTCTGCCAGGCCTTTGGTTTATTTATTTATTTATTTATTTATTTATTTATTTATTTATCGTACTTATACCCCACCCTCCCCAGTGGGCTCAGGGCGGCTTACAGAGGCAAGAACAACTTGGTTGAGGCGGTGGATGTCAAATAACATCGACCTTCCCTGCTTTAAATGCCCCATGGTACTATTTACATCTCAGGCACAAGGAGCAGCACCAATTTCAATCAGAATGATTCATCCCCCTTCTCCTAGCATAAGCTTACTCTGTGTTGGACTGTAATCACTCGTCACTGCTATCATTAGGAATGTTAGATTAGTTACTCAATTCAATTTTATTCAGTTTTATTATATTCAATTGAATTGAACTGATTAGTTACTCTAATTTTACTTATGTTAACTATCAATGTTTTAATTGGTTTATTGCTCTGGTATTTATGTATTGTTTTATAATATGATGTAAGCTGCCCTGAGCTCGTTCGCTGGGTAGGATGGGATAAAAATCCCCAAAATAAAATAAAATAAATAATTTTAAATAAATTTGTAGCCCAATTCAGCAATAAGCATCTCTCCCTTATAATAATTGAATAGTGGGCACCAACGTTCTAAAACTGGCCCCTTTAGTGTTAGGCCGGAAGAACTGCCACTCAGAAGACATTGGCTGGGTTGACTGGCTGCTTTGTGCAGTCCCGCCCAGTGTTCCAAGGTCATTTGCATATGGAAGCTGATTGGACCTCCCTCCATTCCACATCTCAAACTCACCCCCCCCCCGCAAGGCAGTTGGCATTTTCAGTTGCATAACATACCTCATAGGGGAGAGGAGAATGATGTAAGCTGCTCTGCTGCCAATCTCCAGGTGAGGGCTACAGATCACTCACAATTACAACTGTTCTTCAGGTAGCAGAGATCAGTTCCTCTGGAGAGAACAGTGGACTCTGTCATTATACCCTGCTGAGGTCACCACAGCAAATTGACACTGTTTGCCCAAAGCCAGAGCACTGCCCCAGAGCCTCTTTCTAGATCTCGTTGTATTGCTTTCACAACGGGCTTTACTGCTAGTATAAATATAAGAAGCAAACATTATTTCTTTACACACCAGAAGAGATAATGCAGCCAGAAAAATGGACATACTTACTTTCCCTTCTTCCTCAAGAGTCTTTCAGACTCAGGATAGTGCACCATGATTTCACTGAGATCCTTCTTGTCGAGAATAAAAAGGTTGGCAAATCCATGGGCCACCACATTAGCAGTTCGTCGATTTCCTCCACCAGCTGCTAACAGGCTGAAACAAAAACAAATATTTTTCTTAGTTCAAAGTTATGAAAGCCGTAGGTGGTTTAGTTAGGTTAACTGGCAATGTATCCCAAGTTGAGTTTTTAGTACCTTGGACCTTCCTATCCTGTTTTCTGTGGCTGTGGTAAATGTGTGTTCCCCAAACACTTTCTGACAATTATAGATGCATGTATTATCTTTATTTGTACCCCGTCTTTCTCTCCAAAGGGGACCCAAAGTTGCTTCCATCATTCTCCTCTCCTCCATTTTATACTCACAACAACCCTGTGAAGTAGGTCAGGCTGAGACATTGTGATTGGCCCAAGGTCACCCAATGAGCTTACATGGCATGAATGGAGATTCGAACCTGGGTTTCCCAGATACTAGCCTGGCACTCAAGTCTTTACCACACTGGCTCTCCAGATATTGAACAGGCTACTGTACATTTATCACCCTGTATTCTTCTCTGTTCCTTGCATGACCTATGGTATTCATCAGTATCCCTTTTGAAGTACAGGGGTAGTAGAAAGTGTCGACTTATTGCACTGCAATCTACATGGATTGTGTATGCATCCAAATAATGACATTGTGCACCAGCCAAAGTTAAGCACAGTCCCCTGCCTTTGGGCTGGATAATGTCCATTGTTTATGCCATAAAGAGTGCCCTGTCCTTAAAAGCATTTCAAAGTTGATAAAACTTCAGAAACCTGCAGAGGAGAACAGAAATGATTGGCTGCCTCATTGCCTGTTCATAGGAGACCATGTTATTCATAGCATGCCAGCTGTGCTTAATTCAGCCTGTATTTCAAGATAATAAACTTTCCTTATTTAAACCTTGGAATGAAATGCTGTAATTCTGTCTGCATGGCTCTTTTTTGTTTTGTTTTCAGAACTGAAATATGAGAATGTGGAGAGGGGGATGGAACACATCCACATACCTGTTTGTGAAGTCAAAACCAGCTTTGGATAATATTTTAAGCCACCAAGAGATTAATGAAGTATTGGACAGAAGCACAGTATATGTATTTTTGCATTAAAAACAACAATTTTGTTAATCTAACCTAAACAAGCACGACAGAATCAAAACCCTGATATAAATGCAGACCATGGTAGCAATTCACCACGAGAGCTCCAAATCCAGTATGAGCAGCCCCTGGTTCCACAGATGTTTTCCCATAGAAAATCTAGAAATCCGTTGATGGTATTATAGTCAGTAGCATCGGAGGTAGACAGGCAGACCACATAGATAAGGTGGTAAGACACTTCTTCCACTGCCCCCCCACCCATGTGATGAGGAACATATCATCTGAGCCTTGACTGTGAAGAGGAAATGTTTGTATAAGGACAATGCAAGTTGAATATGTGAATAGGTGTGCATGTGAGAATGAAACAAGATGGACTGAACATACAGAATCCAAAAGCAACTGCAAACTCTCTCTGCAGAAGGCTGGTTTATAAAAGCCACAAATAATGGTATGCATGTAACTGTCCACACAGTTTCTCTAATAGGATGGCATATCTGTCTGCAGAAGAGGCGGTGGCAATTTGTACTCCCAAATACAGAATCTCCACTCTCCCCATGCCTTCCCTAGAGGTCAGCAGGCTCCCAGGAACAAAATTTCTTGGCAACTTAGTGGAATGCATCTCTACTCCTTACAAATTTTTATTAGGCAGCTTCCAATAATAAAAGTTTCATGATAACATAAAATATATGAGGAAGAGGGACAAATGTAAATAAAAACAATATACAAAGAACGTTTATGGGTAATAAACAGAACTTTGAATTGTGCCTGCAAAGCAGCCTACAAAGACCTTTGAACACTGGTGGGATATAGCCCCTGTAATTCTCACCTCCTAGTAGTCTAGCTGCCCCCATTGTAAACCAGAGGATGTTTTCAAACTGTCTTCAAAGGCAGTCCCATATGTCACACTTTGCAGCAATCCAACTGAAATGTAATGGCAGCATCTGTGGCCAAATTGAGTCTATCAAGGAAAGGACACAGCTGGCAAACTAACCCAAGCTGTTTAAAGGTGCTAAAGGAGATCTGCTCCTCCATCTGCAGCCTTGGATCTGAAAGCACCTCCAAGCTGCAGGATTCTCTTTGGAGGAGGAGGTGCGACTCAGTCCTGGAAGACTCTCAAATCCTTGATTGACATCAACCAATAGAACCTGGTCTTGTATGGACTGAGGCTCATTTTATTGGTCCTCATCCAGCCTCTTACTGCTTCCAGGCACCAGATCAGGGCATCTGCAGCATTTCCTGACCCAGTTAAAAAGGAGAAACAGTTCTGGGGTCATCTGCAATTACTCACACACACACACACACACACCCCGGGTCCAGAACTGTGAATGATCACTTCCAGGGGTCATGTCGTAGAAAAAGAGGTGCAGGAGCTCATTAGCATAACTCATTAGCATAACTTATTTGCATATGCCACACCCCGTGGCATCACCAGAAGTGTGTCAGAAGGCAACACCCACCACTCAGGCTCCACTGGACTGTTTTGGATTGCTAGCTATTGGGGGGGGGGAACATGCAGATCTCACAGAGGAGGGAGAGCTTGTACCTGAATAAAACTTGGTCTTAAAGGGGGGGGGGATGCGCAGATCTGCCCTCACAGAGGAGGGAGAGCTTATACCTGAAGGCAGGCCAGGGGGGGGGCTCTGCAACTTACCTGGCTGCTTCTTGCTCCTCGTGGCCCAACTGAGGGCTGCTGGGATCAGGGGGTGGGGCTTGTTGCATGTGCCCACCCCCTGGGCTCCTTACTACCGGAGCTCCGCTCCTGTGCGCTCCCACAGGAAATGATCCCCTGATCACTTCTGACACTTTCATGTAGATGCTAAACAGCTACACTGGTGAACTTGGAGAATTACACAGGAGACCACTTGTACATATAAGAGCTTGGATGCTAGGTAAACTGGTCTAAAAAGTCGCTAGTGTGCTTCACGTTAGACATGTATGTTTTTCCATTCTCCTGCCCCTTTGAATGAGACATTCCCCATTCTAAAGCACTGCTGCGCAAAATGTATACAATACTCAATTCTGGCAGGGGCTGGGTTGTAGCCCTAGCTCTTCACACTGAATCCTACCAGAGGAAGAAAAGAACTGTGCAGGATCCAGGTGCTCATACACTGCATATGATAAAGTGGAGCCCAGTTCTCTTGCAGCTGCTATTCTGCTATTGTTAATCTTCGGCTGGCATCTCTAATCTGCCTTTGGAAAACAGGTGAATAAACTCTGTGCCAGGTTTAAATTTATCCTCTGCTTGCTGCTCCCAATTCAAATATGCCAACTTCCTTCACACACAAAGAAAATATCTCCCAACAGTCCACAGTTAGGCAGTTAACAAACATCGTATCTAAAGTTTCTGAAACACAAAGAGCACAGAACTATTAGAGATCTGCCTGGAAAAGCACTGTTGCAGTGACTGGGTGCCTAAAAGCCCATAAAAAAGCTCCAATCAGTCCTGTATTGAAATTCTGAAGAAACCAGAGACCTGCGAGATCAGACCAAGAATTCATTTAATCTAGCATCTTGTTTTTCACAGTGATGAGCCAGATATCCTAGAAAACCCACAAGCAGAGCATAAAGCCAGTTTGGTGTAGTGGTTAAGTGCGCGGACTCTAAACTGGGAGAACCGGGTTTGATTCCCCACTCCAATTGCACCTGGCTGGATGACCTTGGGCAAGCCATAGTTCTGGCAGAGCTGTTCTTGAAAAAGAGTAGTTTCTATCAAGAGCTCTCTCAGCCCCACTCACATCACAGGGTGTCTATTGTGGGGAGGGGAAGGGAAAGGAGTTTGTAAACTGCTCTGAGACACCTTTGGGTAGTGAAGGGCGGGGTATAAATCCAATCTCCTCCTCCTCCTCCTCCTCCTCCTCCTCTTCTGATGTTAACCTCTGTAACCAGTATTCCATGCCATCTATATATGTAATACCGAAGTAGCCCCCTATGTGCGGATATCTAAATCAGCACAAAGGGGGCACTTGGGGGGGAGGGAGAGTTTTGTGCACACGTGGGGCAGTCCCCAGGTGTGCACAAAAATCTAAAAAGTTTTTAAAAAATCGGGGGATACTTAAATCCCCCCAAAAGTGAAACTGCGTCCCCTGCGCATGCGCAGGGAACGCAGCGGATGTGGGGAGCAATCCTCAGATATAAAATTGTAATGTGGGAAACAAATAGTAGGAATTGAGCAAAAGCTATATACCATTTCGAGACTGTTTTTTTACAGCTATCAGAGTTAGAAATAGTTTTTTTTAAGATGCTGCTAGGCTTTTTGAAAATATCAATGAATATCTAGATAAATATTGGTCTCTCACTCACAAAACCTCAGCAAGGCTGGGAGAGAAGCAAAGCATCTGTCAGCGCCATACCCCATATTTCTGGGAGCATGGAGTTGCTGTCAGATTTGTTTGCACCTGTCATGTGATGTTGTGGTTAGACTGTCAGACTAGGATGCAGGAGACTCATGTTCAAATTCCCATTCTGCCATGGATTATCCTGGGCCAGTCACTCTCTCAACCTAACCTAGCTCACGGTGTTGTTGTTGTTAGGATAAAATGGAAGCGGGGAGAATGATGTTGCAAGCCACTTTGGGTCCTCATTGGGGAGAAAAGGGAGGCATAAATATCTAAATAAAATAGGTGGTGCTATTTGTAGGAATGGAAGAGGTTCCTATTCAAGTTTTTGCAGATCACTGGATATATGAATTGGCCTCAGGCAAAGTCAAGCTACAGAATGTTGCAGAGTTAACGAGACAAGAATGGGAGAGCACACCATGCACCAATACATTAATAACAACAACAATAATAGCAAACTTTATTTTTTTATGTTAATATAATGTGGTCTATGAAAAACATTCTGTCCCCCCCGTGAGTATCGCGGGTCGCCTTACTTGTACTGCTTCTAAACCTGAATTTTTTAGGGTGGGAAACTTACATGCATTAGTATCCATGACAATGTACACATCACCCTTCTGTGCATTGACTGAACTCATGGAAAGGTTGAGTAGGCATGAGTGTGCTGGCCCTGTCCCAAGTGATCCCAGGTCATCTGCTTAGTGCAAATGAAGTACCTGCTCTGCACTTATGTTCCCTCCCCATGTGCTGGGACACTGTTTCCTGAATGTTGTCCGGCATAGAGAGGGACTATACATGTGGATACTTCCTCTATATATACTTGTCGTGCTCATGAGCCAGTGATCACATGAAGGTGGGGCCAGTGCATTCATACCTGATCTCCCTCTCAGCATGTTCAGTCAATGTGTAGAGGGGTGGTGTGTTCAAGGCTTCGGAGTATGCTGGACTCCTGGGCATGGGCAACCTGAGCATCCAAGTGCCTTTTTCATAAGAATGGCCCAGATTACTAAATTAATTACTAAAATCTTGATAATTGGCAGATGACTACAAGAACTAATTCCACTGAAAATACTGTACTGTAAATGGCTTTGGACTATATGAAAGTTTTACTGCGTTGATTAATCCGTGGTGACATTCACACACACAGAGAGAGACACACACAAATACATCATCACCCTTAATACCATGGCTAACAAACGATACGTGGCCCAAACCCAAGTGTCATGGAAGCGGATTTGGGGAGCAATCCTCAGATATAAAATTGTAATGTGGGAAACAAATAGTAGGAATTGAGCAAAAGCTATATAGCATTTTGAGACTTTTTTTACAGCTATCAGAGCTAGAAATAGTTTTTTTTTAAAGATGCTGCTAGGCTTTTTGAAAACATCAATGGATATCTAGATAAATATTGGTCTCTCACTCACAAAACCTCAGCAAGGCTGGGAGAGAAGCAAAGCATCTGTCAGCGCCATACCCCCTATTTCTGGGAGCATGGAGTTGCTGTCAGGTTTGTTTGCACCTGTCATGTGATGTTGTGGTTAGACTGTCAGACTAGGATGCAGGAGACTCATGTTCAAATCCCCATTCTGCCATGGATTATCCTGGGCCAGTCACTCTCTCAACCTAACCTAGCTCACGGTGTTGTTGTTGTTAGGATAAAATGGAAGCGGGGAGAATGATGTTGCAAGCCACTTTGGGTCCTCATTGGGGAGAAAAGGGAGGCATAAATATCTAAATAAAATAGGTGGTGCTATTTGTAGGAATGGAAGAGGTTCCTATTCAAGTTTTTGCAGATCACTGGATATATGAATTGGCCTCAGGCAAAGTCAAGCTACAGAATGTTGCAGAGTTAACGAGACAAGAATGGGAGAGCACACCATGCACCAATACATTAATAACAACAACAATAATAGCAAACTTTATTTTTTTATGTTAATATAATGTGGTCTATGAAAAACATTCTGTCCAAAACAATGGAAGGATACCTGATCTCGCCAAATACAGCGCCTGCTTTCAAGGTGACCAGGACCTTGGTTCCATCAGGACCTCCAAGAACTTGAACTTCACCTTGCTTGATAATGTACATTTCTCTACCAATTTCTCCCTAGACACAAATGCACAGGAGGAAAAACACTGGAGGTTACATGATGATGATGATGATGAAGATGCCTTCTGTCTGAGAATGACTAGTTGCTAAATCTTTGTTTTAAAAATAGCTGATTTTTCCACCTCCTGAACTTGTTCCAATACATTTCCCACTCTGTCTCTTTGGCATGACAACATTGCCATTTGAATAGTTCATCAAGATTGCAACTTGACATGGTCTTGCTCAACCCTCTTTGTAGCACACCTTCCTCAGTGCTTAGGGTTGCCAGGTCCATCCTGGCAACTGGCAGGGGATGGCGGGGGAATTACTAGGAGCAGGAAGGAGGCTCAGGTGATATCACCAGAAACAGGGTGACATTATTGCTGGCACACACAGGAAGTGACATCACGCTGTGACATTGCAATGATGCTCTGGTATTTGGACAAGAACTCTATAGTAAAAATGGCTTCTACCATAGAGTTTTACTAAATACTACAGTGTCGCTCAGACATTGGCTTCTACCATAGAGTTTTACTAAATACTACAATGTCGCTCAGACATTGCCGGCGTGATGATGTCGGTTCCTGTGCACTCCAGAAGTAACGTTGCCTATGATGATGATGATGAAGATGAAGATGCTTTCTGTCTGAGAATGACTAGTTGCTAAAACTTTTGTTTTAAAAATAGCTGATTTTCCCACCTCCTGAACTTGTTCCAATACATTTTCCACTCTGCCTGTTTGGCATGACAACATTGCCATTTGAATAGTTCATCAAGATTGCAACGTGACATGGTCTTGCTCAACCCTCTTTGTAGCACACCTTCCTCAGTGCTTAGGGTTGCCAGGTCCATCCTGGCAACTGGCAGGGGATGGCGGGGGAATTACTAGGAGCAGGAAGGAGGCTCAGGTGATATCACCAGAAACAGGGTGACATTATTGCTGGCACACACAGGAAGTGACATCACGCTGTGACATTGCAATGATGCTCTGGTATTTGGACAAGAACTCTATGGTAAAAATGGCTTCTACCATAGAGTTTTTCTAAATACTACAGTGTTGCTCAGACATTGCCGGCGTGATGATGTCAGTTCCTGTGCACTCCAGAAGTAACGTTGCCACATTGCCATCGATGTCACCTGGGCCTTCCTCTTTCTCCTGGTAAGTTCTCCTGCTGGTCAGCTGATTGGAATCAGGGGGCGTGGCCTGGCAGCAGGGAACCCACCTCGACTGGGGGGCTGGCAATCCTATCAATACTACTTGACCTTATTGCATTTCATCCTTATAGTAATGCTGTAGACATAACAGCAGAACAGTCCAGTAGCACCTTAGAGATCCCCAAAATCTTGTTGGTCTCTAGGTGCTACAGGACTTGAATCACTGAGGGGGAACTTGTATCTAGCAGTTCCAAGTCTAGCAGTCTGGTCTCCTTGTGATTTGACTTGCATTTTCACTGGGTTCTTCCAGAGACTGCTTCTTTAGCTGCAGCCTATGTGGTAAAGTGTGACTGAATATTCAGGCACTATTGGAGACTGGCCAAGGAGATGGGGAGAGCTTTGTGCTTATCAGCAGGGGTGCAAAAATGTTTGCAAACTTTAGGAGCCAGAAGGAAGGCAGTGAGAGAGATAAAGGGCACCAGTAGGGGAAGAGCATATGAATAGCTGAAGAAGAGAAGAGATTGGATTTATACTCCGCCCTTCTCTACCCAAAGGAGTCTCAGAGCAGCTTACAATCCCTTTCCCTTCCCCTCCCCACAACAGACACCCTGTGAGGTAGGTGGGGCTGAGAGGGATTGAGAGAACAGCTCTGAGAGAATTTGTGACTGACCCAAGGTTACACCAGCAGCTGCATGTGGAGGAGTGGGGAATCAAACCCAGTTCTCACAGGTTAGAGTCCACGCTCTTAACCACTGCACCAAACTGGCTCTCTACACTACACTACACCAAGCTGTTTGTTCTTAGTGCTTTCTGGTGACGTCCACTGCCCATGAAGTGCCAGGGTTTAAGCCTGAATAGTGTTGCTAACTTTTGATTTTAAAAAAAATGGTTACTTTATAGACCTAAGGCCATGATGCCTTGTATGGACATGGGCTCATCCCAATAGCTAGAATAAGCACTGCCAGACTTTGACTCAAACTGGCAGACTGACATCTCAGGACCGTCAGCTGACCCACATACTCAATAAAGTTTCTTCTTGAAATTATTGCACATGTACATTGGAGATGGGACAGCAATAATCTGGCACTAAAACCTCAGCTATACTTCTGTTTAGTATGTAATTAATTTCTATGTTATTTTTAATTTTTTTGCATGTGGTAATACAGGAGACCAAGTCTTCCTGTCGGTGGGGAATGTATCCCTTTTGGTTTTACCATGGAGTTTTGGCCAAGTGTTAAAGCATCACCTCAAGCTGACATCACCGCTGGTTGGGCTGGGAGTGACACTGTGGGATGCTGGAACTGGTAGGCCCCTTCCCCACAAAAATTTAGCCCAGGCAAATATCTCTGCAAAGCCACATTCTGTGACTATACCCATTCACTATGGTTCCATTCCTATTGATGTCAAAAAGTACTAAAGGTCCCATCAGGCCATAGCTTGACATCAGCAGGCCCAACCCCATTTGTCATGGGTCAGCCAGGGCTCAGCAACAGTGAGGACTCATCAGAGGAGGAGGGGCCCTGCATAGACAGTCCAGAGTTGACAGAAGCTGACCAGCAGGAAAATGACGTGCAGGTTGGTTTAGAATCACCTCCACCCTCCAGCTCTAATTCAGCAGGCGAAGCCAGTTAGCCATTCCCAGCCCTCCAGAATCACCGACACCTTTGAAAGACCACAGAAGAAGGCTAAGAACAGAGTCACAGGCTCAGAGGCAAGGTGCACGTCTCTCTTGGTTCAATGCCAGCTGCCTGTTGATAGTGAAGAAGATGAGTCTTTACAGGATTGTTCCTGAGAAGCTGGCTGTTTGTGTGACGTTTAGGCATGTGGCTATTAAGTCTCCCAAGAGATGCTTTTGGGTGTGGATACAATGTGTAGGTTAGATGCTGAACTGCCAACACTGCCTTGATTGATTACTGGAAAACCTGACCTCGGATAGAACAACCCTGGACTTCAGAGACCCCCTTTGGCCTTGTTATCATTAAGAAGCAGCAAGAGATGCTGTAATATGATACCAGAAGCCATCAAGCCAGTACACCATTTGTCTTAGGGTTCAGGATATGCTGGGTATCAGGCACCCTTAGCTGACATTCCTATGTCATCGTGCCACCACTTACACTATGGTGAGTAGCTACAGAGGAACCCTAGCTGCCTGGTTACCACAGCCTCCGGCTTGGCTTCCAGATACTCTTCATGCCATTGTCATTACATATCTTCTAGAACAAGGCCTAGTACAAGTTCTAGAGCTGTGTTCTGGGAAGCTCTAGCTCAAATTCAGCCTCCAGGGAAGGAGGACTGCGCTAGTCAATAACCAAATAAACAACTTTCACGTGGTAGGACAGGAGAAAGGAGAAAGATTGTCGACAAGTTTGTATCAGCTAAACAGCATCTGTGCAGTGCTTGTTTTCCTCTTCCTACAGGAATGAAAAGTGGGGCCAGAATTGTGAGCCTTTGGACACAAGCTGGACGGCAAGAGTCAAGGGGCCCTGACTCTCAGCCGGAGGTTCACAGTCAAAGGGTCTGTATGAGACAGGGTCCATCAGGACCAGTCCAGGATGTATCTCTTTTCCATTTGTGTGTTTTATTGTGTCATATGTTGAAATTGCTTGTATTTGGTATTCCTTCTTTGAGCCATTTTGGGTCACTGCTGGGAGAAAAGTGGCATACCAATGTGATAGAATAAAGTTAAAATAGTAAAAAAAGAAAAAAAGTAGTATGCCTTCTGCACCCCTTGAAAGAAACTGCAAACTTTTAACCTCCATAGAGCTCCTTCTTACTGCGATAGTAAACCCTCTCCCAAGACACAGGGCTTCAATTGGAAGTGTCTCCTCACTCACCTTGCCTCACCCATTCTCCAAAACAAATGGAGAAGCAGCAACCCAAACAAATGAAACATTGCACATTCAAAAGTAAATCAGCATTTTAATTATTTTTCCTAATGATCATTTGCATAATTTCCAAGGGAAAAATCAAGAATAATCAACCAGCCAAAGCATCTGCTGTTTCTTGCATATTTACCAGCTCATTTGTGACCTGATTAGCATCCAAATGAAGTCAATTATACCTGGACAAACAGGACAGAAATGTCTGCGCTGATGATATATATACCCACATCACAGTAATGTTGTATACTATAAAAAGGAGGCATAAAACTGGAACACAGTCCTTATTTATAGAACTATTACCATTTAGCAGGCTGAATGTTCTTGTTTCCAGTGGATCGGGATTAACACTGAACTTCAAACAAGAATTTAAATTGCTTCTCAATCTCAAACCCATTCCAGTTCTATTTTTTTCTTGGGCAGGTAGCCTTTAATAGAGAGGTCATGATCCTAAAAAATCCACTCTTGATGTTTTCTATTACACCCCGCACCCCGATTATTTGTTAAACCATGGAAGTAGTTTTTAAACTCTTTTTCTTCCAAGGAATATTTTCCACATGACTTAGAATCAGGGGTCATTTCGTAGAAAAAGAGCTAGGGGAACTCATTAGCATAACTCATTAGCATATGCCACACCCCCTGACATCTGGGGCCCGGCGGTGGACCTGCAAGGCCAGCGGGAGTTCGAGGAAGCCCCGCCAAGGCCCTCCCTGGCCCCAGGCAGGCAGGGGTGGGGAGAGGTGGGGAGGAAGCAACTTACCCTCCCTCTTCTCCTGCCTCCTCCTGGCTGAATGAGGGCTGGAAGCGGGGTGGCCGGAAGCAGGGGGCGGGGCTTTGTCATGTGCCCCGCCCCCCTGCACCTCACCCGGGGGAACTGCGTTCCCCTGCGTTCCCCCCCGAAATGACCTCTGCTTAGAATAATAGAATGTTAGAGTTGGAAAGGACCTTGCACTCTGCAGGTCCACAAAATTTGTACCACAAAATTTTGTACCACAAAATTCACATGCACTGGAGAAGATTTTGGAGAATTGTCTGGGATACATAGTCTACCTGAATAGTCCAGGCCTATTGCATTTCAGAGCTAAACTTGATTTAATGGGGCAGCCACTGCTTACTTAAGACACTTCTTATTCTGGGCCACAGACTGTCGACCACAGTAGCTGTCCACCCCCTCCCCTTATAATAGTACTGGTCACCACTGGGAATGAGCAGGACATTTTTGTACTTTCTTCAGAATGGCTTGTTTCTGGGGGATTTTTTCTCCTGCTCCATTGTTATGTATTGGAATCGAATCATTCCTGAATGAATCACCCCAGAGACTGGCTGAGCTTGGAGCACAAGAACAATAGCCTACCAGGATTCTGAAAGTAACCAATCTAGTAGTAATGTTATGTAAATAGCCTATCACTGGGAGTAGGGTGTGTTTGGGTGTGGCAATTGCATGCTATTTAACAGAGCTGAGGTTCTGGAGTCTTGTCTTGCTATTGCTGAAATCACAAATAAAGTTGAGCTGATCCTTAGACTGAAGCCTGCTTGTATAAATAGGCTTGGTCTTTAGGACTGGTTAGTCCTTTAGCTATCCTAACTATCCTCTTCACAGCACCTGAGGAAGTGAGCTTTGAGTCACAAAAGCTCATGCTGTAATAAATGTTGTTAGTCTTTAATGTGTCACTGGACAGTCTTAACTAGGTATGACAGGAATAGCCTGAGTTGCTGAGACAGGAATAATTGGCAAGGCAACTAAGTAAGAAGGGAGGTTTACCCCAGCTAGCTGCTTGTATGTGGTCATGATGTTTGGGATAGAACTAAGCGTGTTTCGAGCAGTGTCATGTGTTCTCTAAATTGCTATATGGAATGCATGCCAGCAAGATGAGGCCTGACAGCTCAGTTTGGAGTAAGGGTGATATTACACAAATGCAGACAGCCACTAGAGGCAGCCTTCAAGGGGTAACCCAAATTAAAATTGAGGGAGTGATTAATTAACTATGCAGATCAGGCATGAATAAAACCTAGTTTAAACCATATGCCAGTGTATTAAGCCTTCACACCAATTTAGGGCGGGGGAATCTTCTGAATTTGAATTTTGGAAAAAGAATTCAAGGAGGGATGGAGTAGAGCTCCTTGAACATTAAAGAATCCCTTCCCAATAACTGGAAATGTACAGGATTGTGCATCCCTAGGGGTCTTCCAGGGCAACTTGTCTACTACTGCTGGGTTGTATTCGTTGGAACACAATTGGAAAATCACCATCTGGATTGCTGGATATAAGAACAAGAATATCAACACTGATCATTATTCTTGTTGGTGAAGTACAGAGCATTTTCATCTGTATATCTCAAATTTTTTTCAGTTAATAAATCACATAATTTTATAGTTCAGTTTCTTGAATCCCTGTATATATACACGTAGGTGCACATTTTTCGTGTGCCTGCAACAATTCACTTAAATAATAAAACTTAATGATGTGTGTCAATAGATAAGTCATATTTAAATACCCCTGTTATTCATACAGTTTTTAAAAATGATTTTATCATACAAGTAATAAAACCCATATTTTCTGGAACAAGCTTGAAATCTGAGAGCATCACATTATTATTGCACATTGCAATGTAATTACTTTTACACTATGTAATTCACCCAAGATTAATTTTGTTCCAATTTTGTTCTTGGTTTATACTTGCATTCCCCTTTTATTGTCCTTGTTATTATTGAGTTTGAAAGATAAATAGTCAAGATCACCTTTCTGCAGACATAGTCACCAGGTAAATACACAATGGATTTTAGTCTCAGCAACATGTCGCATATCATTTGTGAATCACATCCCTATTCAAAAAGAATAATAATCACCATTAGAATTATGATGAAATCGATTACTGGAAATATAACACAGCACTAGCACAAGACAGAAATGCAAAAAGGTGTTTATTCTTAATGCATCGATCATATAAGCTAATCATTTTTTATAAGTGATAAAAAGAATGCAGAAGCTGCATTGCTGTAGCCCATTCATAATTTAATCTCATTGATTTAGCGACAACCATTCAGTACTATGGACCAGTTTTCATAAAGAACAAATACACTGGTACATCAGTGCCTTGAGTATGGTTCCTGTGTATATTCCTGGGTAAATTTTCCTGTAGGGAGGATTTGCATCACAGGGATGGGCACAAAACACAAAAATGTGATTTGGTTCATTGTTTGTCAGTGAACCACAAACCCCATGAACCCAGTTAGCTTGCATACAAATTGAACCAGGTTTGTGAGATTCATGACAAAAACAGCTGAGCTGAGGGGACAGCCTGCTCCCAGAATTCAATTGTTTCAGGCTCTAAACAGCTGAGCCATGGGAGCAGGCTGCCCCTGTGGCTCAGCTGTTTAGACCAGAAACACCTTACCTGTGGGGCACCCTGCTCCCACAGTTCAGCTGTTTAAAGGGGCTTTCTTGGGCTCCCAACCATTTAAACCAAACAGCTGCTTTTTGTGAAGAGCAGAAAGCAAGGGTTTAAACCTCTGCATTCTACTCTTCACAAACCACCACAAACTGTCACAAACTTTATTAAAATTCATGAAAATTCATGACAGTTCTTCAGTTTGCAAACATTGCTTCACAAACCACAAACCGGCCAAAACCTGTGACAAACTTTAGTTCGTCAGCTGGTTCATGCCCATCCCTAATCACAACTAGAGTTTGAAAGGAAAGGGTTAACACTGATTATATAACCTTGATTTGGAGCTCCCCCAGTGTTTGCAAGTAAATGCCTTCAAGTTGCAACCACCTTATGGCTACCCCAGCAAGGGGCTTTCAAGGCAAGTAAGAAGCAGAGGTGGTTTGTCATTGTCTTCCTCTGCAGAGCCTTCCCTGTTGATTTCCCATCCAAGTACCAACACTACTTAGCTTCCGAAGTCTGACGAGATTGGGCAATACCATACCTTCTCTCCAAGCTCCCCCAACCCTGCTATTAATTCAAAACACAGATGTCCCTTCATTTTTTCTTGCTCAAACCTTGGACTTCAAGTAGGATTATATGACTGAATTCTCCACAAAAAGAATTGACATATTTTGCACACACACGTTTGTCTGTATACTGTACTTGCCTCCAAACTTCCAGTGTACCTTGCCTTGATTTACCAACATAACTAGGGTGTGGGAAATCCCCAGGTTACAGGCTAGCTAGACATTGCACAGCTCTAGTACACAGCTGTTATGATCAATGTTCCCTCTAAGCTGTGGAGTCTTATGAGCAAAAATTCTATTTTGTGAGCTACCGGCATGAATGTTGTGAGCGAGCGATCTGGCTACTGCATCAATTAGTTTGCTCTGGAGCCATCCTTCCTGAGCTAAGGCAAAAATGTGTGAGCAGGAGGCTAAAAAACTGAGCTAGCTCACACTAACTCAGCTTGAGCTCTAGTACACAGCTGATCATCTTCAGCTCATGGCACCTGGTTCAGGCCCTTGGTGGGACAATGATAACTGCATGCATCTCCTATCTCATGTGTTTATCTCTCTGCGGGGATGCTTCCTCTAGCTAGATGCTAGAAATGACAATTACTCCAGTTATTTATCTGAAAAAGACTTACTTTGAACAAGTCAACTTTACTGACAATGGCATAGTTTACATCAATTGCAACGGCCAGCTGCATTTTCCCAGGCATCTTCTCCAGTAATTCGGATTCATCTGTAAAATGGAATTTATATCAGCAAACCATATTTTCAAAAGCTGATGCTACACTAAGGGGTGAACCACCTCCTTGTAATGTAAAATAATTGCAATTCAAGGATTAGCAACGATATGTTTCAAATTATTCTTATTTTAAAATTAGAAAAAGTTTACAAAAATATTAGCTATTCTACAGATTAGAATTTTGATCTTTCAGATTACAGGGTATACTGAAAATGGTTTTATTTTTAAAGAAAAGAACCACATTGTTTGAATGGACTGGGGTCACTGGGACCAAATTATTAGTGATAGCTATTGTCAGTTCTTGGGTAGCTTTCTAATAAATCAGATTGAGGTTGCCAAAATAGGAGGTGGGGGGAAGGTTAGTCTGAATGATCCAGAATTTTACCCAGCATTCCTTGTGACTGCCACGTATATTCATACCAAGTTTTAACACGATTCTGAACCACTTTTGGAATTGAATTAATGTTCATGTACGAGACTGTGTTATCCATACAGGTACGGAAGTAGTTCTGCCCAGATGTTGCTGATCCAATGACATCTCGCATCTGCAAATGTCAACATTTACTATTACTCAGCACATTTTACAACAGGATACTAAGACTGAACAGTTTCAAACATCATCTACTTTTACACTATTTCGATTTATTGGGCTGGTACTTTTGAAAGAAAATTAACAGAAATGTAGTATTTTTGAATCTGAAATAAATTTACTTGATGATAAGTCCCACTGGCCTTAAAGGCACTGACTCCAGGTAGCATGTTTAGCATTGGACCCAAAAGTGTGCATGCACATGAAAGCTTATACCCAGAATTAAATTTTATTGGTCTAAAAGGAGCCACTGAACTCAAACCTTATTCTTATGCCACCCAGTAGTCAGACTGCCTTGCCATATCATGCATTCTCTCTTTTGTTAACCAAGCCCACTGACCTAACAATGCATTATGAGCTGAGAAGCATGAGTGAAGAGTCCCCCTCACCCCTTTAATCAGATACATGGTATCTCTCAAACAATGTGATGCAAATGGCATCTGGAATAACATTACAGGGCTCTACTGGTAGTAGGAGCTCCTTTGCATATTAGGCCACACACCCCTAGTGTAGCCAATCCTCCAAGAGCTTACAGAACTCTTCTTACTGGGGCTACTGTAAGCTCTTGGAGGATTGGCTACACTAGGGGTGTGTGGCCTAATATGCAAAGGAGCTCCTGCTGCCAGTAGAGCCCTGAATAACAACAACTGAAAGCCAGCATGGTGTAGTGGTTGAAATGTTGGGTTAGGATCTGGAAGGCTCAAGTTCATATCCCTATTCTGCCATAGAAGCTTGCTGGGTGAGCTTGGGTCAGACACACACTCTCAGCCTAACCTACTTCCCAGGGTGGTTGTGAGGAAGGACAGGAAAACAAACAGTGTAAGCCACTTTGGGTCTCCACTAGTAGGAAGGTGGAATATAAACATAACAAACAAACAGCTTCATTCAGGATTTCATAGTGGTTACCTTGTTCATTTCTAGAAAATATTTTTACTCCTCCACCCTTCCTGCCACCTACAGCCCTCACAGTGGCTTGCCAAATCTATCAAAAAGTATGACATATTTGCAAGCTGCATGCACGCAACTGGGAGGCAGATGCTTTGATGTCATCTCCCCATCCTCAAGGTCTACCTGCTACTGCTGATCTGGTTGTGATTCCTCCTTCAGGGTGTGGTGGCCATGGGTAAAACTGTCCCCCAATTAGAAAGAGGTTGCCAAGCTCACACTCAGCAGCCCGATATTCTCTTGTCTCTGTGAGTGTGAACAAGCACACTGAAGGCCCTGGCATCTTCTTCCCATTTCTCTGATTGCCACTGACAGTCCAAATTTAAGGCAGAACTACAGAAAGGCAAGCAGTTTGTGCCTTCAAAATAGATCTTTCTCTCTGAACCTACTTTCCCTTTTCTTAGCAATTTTCAATGTTCTTCAAGAACTGTCAGTTTCTTCTTGTTGTTTTGTAATCTGCATTGAAGCTCTTGGAGAAAGGTGAAGTATAAATGAAGTAAGTACATAAAGAAATAAGATGTCTTTTCTAAAAGTTCTTGCACAGGGGGCGGGACCGAACAGCACATTATGTAGGCCAAGAGTTTAACAGAGCTGTTATAAGGTTATGTATTTCACTCAAGTACTTCACATTTTAGTATTCATTTTCTACAACATTGGCCACTGCACAAAATTAGGGTTGCCAACCTCCAAGTGAGGACTGGAGATCTCCCAGAATTACAACGGTCTCCAGACCACAGAGATCAGTTCTCCTGGAGAAAATGGAAGCATTGGAGAGTGGACTCTGTCATGATACCCTACTGAGATCCCGCCAAATCTACAGGGATTTCCCAAACTGGAGTTGGCCACCCGAGCACAAATGAAAACAGCTAAAGAACTAAGTCCGTATTTTCTATTTGAGCTTCTAAAAGTGTAGTGTAGTTTAAAACAGAGGTCATTTCGGGGGGGAACGCAAGGGAACACAGTTCCCCTGGGTGAGGTACGGGGGGCGGGGCACATGACGAAGCCCTGCCCCCTGCTTCCGGCTGCCCCGCTTCTGGCCCTCATTCAGCCAGGAGGAGGCAGGAGAAGAGGGGGGGTTAAGTTGCTTCCTCCCTGTCTCTCCCCACCCCTGCCTGCCTGGGGCCAGGGAGGGCCTTCGCGGGGCTTCCTTGCACTCCTGCCGGCCTTGCAGGTCCACTGCTGGGCCCCTCATGGGGCTTGGCAGTGGAGTTGCAAGGCTGGCGGCGGCCGGGACCGTTGGGGGCGGGGTGTGTGGCCTTATGACACACTTCCGGTGATGTCAGGGGGTGTGGCCTTATGACACAATTCCAGTGATGTCAGGGTGTGTGGCATATGCTAATGAGTTATGCTAATGAGTTCCCCTAGCTCTTTTTCTACGAAATGACCCCTGGTTTAAAACATATTTGGTTCTCATTCATTATTTTTCTTTAAAATTGTTTATTGAAAGGCTAAGCCTGAAACTGCTACCTGTCAGCTCTAAACCTCACTTACTGGGGGGGGGGGGGAAAAAATTTTAAATTAAAATTTAGTCACATTTGAATATACTGGGTTAGATACAGCCAGCCTTTTTATGTGACCTCACTCATTTCCTTTCCGAACTACAGCCAACATCTCACACAGCTTTTGTACATGCAAGTCCCATGAATCTCACCATAGCATTTATGGGTGGTCAAGGAGGATTCCCTCCTCCTTTTTTCACCAGCAAAGGCTGGAGGGATCCAACCAATTGTATTGTGCCTTTGTGCATCTATGGGACTTAACTCCACAGTGTAATTTGTTCTGCAACGTGGAACAGAGCTGAGGCAGTCGCTTGAGCTTTAGAAAGAATGGGAATTAACCACTCAGGTGTGCTGCCTTGATCAAATAAGAAATCCGTTTAGTAGCCCTCTTTAGATAAACAGAATGTCAGTGGGTGTGTGTTTGCAGTCTTGTCTTGAAACATAAGACCAGTCAAGATCAGAGATAGCTAAAGAGAAATTGCCAATGGCAGCAATATTAACAAAGTCTAAATGGAATTCATGTGCTCTCTGAAATGCTGACAACTTAACAAGCTGATTTCTGAATCCCAACAGTAATCAACACAGAAGCTCCAACTTGCAAATAGTACAAAGTATTCCTCTGATAAGCAATTATTAACCCTTGCAGACAGCACAGCAGACTTTTAAAAACGTTTGTGCCCAATGAAAAACAACATCCAGAGACTTCTAGTTCCCTTTACCAAAGCCATTAGAATGGGGACTGTGAAATGACTTTCCAGGTCTCACCTTGATCCTGGTCGGGGACTCCAACCTGGCTCTTGGAGTCTTCTGGCATGTGTGCCACAATGATGTCACCCAGAAGTGATGTTATTGCTCTGGGCACATGATTCAAGAGATGCTCTAGTATTTGGGTCATCATAGAGTTTTTACCTGAATGCTAGAGCATCCCCCACATAACGGCATGCCAGGCACATTGGGCATGCTGGGACTCTTCGGGGGTGGGGCTCCCCCCGTTGGCCAGTTGGCTGGTGGCAGATTGGGGCCCCCAAAATTGGGGGAACCCCTGCCCCCATCGGGGGGTTGGCAAGCCCTCTCTCTCTCTCTCTCTCTCTAGCAAGAGAGAGAGAGAGAAATTTGGCCATAACAAGATAATAACTAATGGTTAAAGGGGAGGAAAATAAAGAAAGTGAAGAGTTTCACAGATTAGTTTCAGTTGAGACACACCTGAGAATCAATAATATAATTAATGCCTGTAAAACAGGTAGTGGTTTTATAGTATAAAATACATATCGAATAAGCTACAGAGAAGAATGCCCATTCTCTTCTTTTGTTTGTTCAAGCCATAGAAGCCAAATGAATTTTATGGAAGTTAAACAGGTCTGTCTCTAGTACACATACCTAGACGAGAGGCCACCTCTCAACTCAGATATCCCCTTCAGTTGCTATCATCCCCTTCTGATATCCCCTTCAGATGCTCTGGGAATTGATATAGCATTTGCCCTTACTATGATACTCCAGTAATGTTGGAAGCTCATGCAGAACAGCTGTAGACATCTTTTCCATCCCAGTACCATCTCTCATGGGGGCAGTCCGTAAAGAACATTCTCAGAAAATCTCTAATTCACTTTCTGCTGCCTATTTTCCTGATATTTCTTTTAAACCAGAAACACTGTACACTCAATGACTGACTTAATGAAAAATGTCTTTGTTCACCTGACCAATCAAGCTGGAAAACACAAAGACCCCTGAGAAATAATCCAGAAGCTGAAAGACGATCTCAAAGGTGGTTACTGGTTCTGGAAGTCCACCAATTGTAATTAAAGTCCGAACTGAAAAATAGTAACTTCTCAGGTACCTACAAAAACAAAATATTATATTTTTTTCCACAGAGGTTTTTAGTAAGCATTATGGTAGTATATGTTACGAATGCTAACTGAAAGTCAACATTGCAGACCACAATTCAAAAAGTCATCTCTACTATTATAGTAGCATTACCTGAGTTTCCAAACTGGGGAAAGGGTAGGTGTGTCAGTCTAAGGAATAGTAAACTACAGATTGTAGCTATTTGTGGTATCTACACATCAGCTATAATGGTGACATTAGGGACAGTGTTTGCGTAGATGGAGGCTCATTTATATTTTTAATTGTAGTATTTGAAATGGAAGTAAATTGTTCAGAAAACAACTCATGTTAGAATAATGTTTTGTAACCTACTCAGATGTGTTTTGGATAACAGAATAGGTATACAGCAGTATTATTGTTATTACCTGCTACTGCCTTTACCTTGAATTGCATAATAACCATGAGGGTAAAATGTACTCCTTAAGAGGTCATCTTCTCTAATCCTTGGCTGAGATTGCTGATTTGAAAAAATAGCTACATTTAGCCATTTAAGAACGGAATTCTATAACTGGAGAAGGATGCTCACCTTATTGGACTCAGTTGATAGAAGGTGTGTCAGAATAAGCAAAGGATAAGCAAAGTCTGCTATCCAGTTTGGCTTCTTTCACCCTGAGCAGGGCAGCCTTTGTGCTTCCCCTTTGTGGTTCTTCTTTGACCCTCACACTCACAGTAGTGTTCTTTTATCTGTTGCAGGTTACCACACGCTCTACAGAATATTCCACCGGCGTGGTTCCACTACACCAGCAAGCTTTCCCACATTGTGCCCTTGTGCTCCCAAGTAAGTAAGGCTGGGTGACTCAGGCTAGCCTTCCTGGGTATCTCCCTTCCCTCCCCCTGTGCTGGCTCCTGCATGGTAGGAATGTCCTCCTCCCAGCCTTCTTGCTCCTTGACTCCATTTCCTGTCATCCCCTCCATTGGCTCTGCTTTTCCTTTTGACATAGGCTTCAGGTGAACCCTGCCCGTCAGTGCTGTGTCACTTCTGGCCTGACCGTGTTTAATTGGGGCCAGGCCACAGCTTCCACAGATTTTCAGCCTTGTTCACTATCTAAAATTAGGGCTTTCCCACATTCTTATTTTACTTGCTGTTAAGTTCCTGTTTCTTTGGTGTTTCTTTTGTTGTTGTAGTAGTAGTTCTACATGTGTTTTTCTCCCTCTAGTGGTCAATTTGATATCACACAGCTCCCCCCCCCATATCTCCCTGCACGTTTAAACTGCAGGTTTTTAAACTGAAAATAAACCTGTCTGATATTGACTTGACCACTAGAGGGAGCAAAACACTTGCAGAACAGACCCCCCCCCCCAAACAGGAACTTTTCCATTAAAATGAAAATGCAGGAAAGTCCTTAGTCTTCAGTTTCGCTGCCATATAGAACATCATGTGTTTCAGCTACTCTCTGCTTTATAAGGAGGTTACAGTGAAGGGCTCCGATGAATTGTTAGCATTTAAATGTTCAGAGGAAAGGAGTTTTATTTTCTTTTTTCTCTCCTCTTCCTCTTCTAGGGTTGCCAGCCCCCCCCCCCCCGGCCCCTGGTGGGGGGTGGGGGGAGAGGATTTGAAGGTCCGGGTGTGGAGACTCAAGATTTGGGGATGGAGCCTAGAGAGGACAGGGATATCAGTGAGGAATAATGTCATAGAGTCCACCCTCCAAAGCATCATTTTTTTTTCCAGAGGAACTGATCTCTGTAGTCTGGAGATGAGCTGTAATTCCAAGGGATCCCCAGGTCCCACCTGGAGGCTAGCATCCCTATTCCCAGGACCTTCTGTTGCCATTTGCAATCTGATTTGCACCTATGACTATATAACTGAATAACATATGCAAACATCACTGAAAGCTGTCTTCAGAAAACTGAAAATTGCAGACAGAATTTGGGCTTCTCCATCATGCCCTAAACATTTTTCTCCCTGTCCCCACTCCATGCCCTCATTTCTGTATTTTGAGCTGATGACTTTTCCATTACTTTGTTTGACATTTTGCTTGGTCCCAATAAAAATGGCATTGCATTACAGTTTTGGGACTTCCCTATGTATTGTTCTGAGAATTGGGGACAGCAAGCATGGTGACTATGTGGTTTTTTTTTTGACTCTTTGGCAACTACCCACTGGAATGAAGACTGTTTAATCCCCCCTGGCCTTTAAACCCCCTCTGCCCACAATCAAATAAGAAGGGGGACACTAAAGGGTCTCTTATTTGGGAAACTGTTAGCCAAAAGCTGCAATTATTTATGAGGTGGGTAGGGAATTACTTTTTCATAGATATTTGACTAGACAGACAAGACGCAGATGGAGATGAACAACAAATGTTTATTTAACAGACAAAATATTTAACTGGGTAAGGATTTTGTGTATATAAAATTGGCATATTGTGTACTATTCTGGGCACCACACCTGAAAAGGGATATTGTAGAACTTGAAAAGGTGCCGAAAAGAGCAACGAAAATTATCAGGGGGCTGGAGCAGCTGCATGAGATTGGTTAAAATGCCTAGGTCTGCTTAGCCTAGAAAAAAGGCAAGTTAGGGGAGACATGATAGAGGCATACTAAAGTATGCATGGCATGGAGAAAGTGGACAGGGCCTCTCCCACAATACCTAGGGTCATCCTCTGAAGCTGAATGCTGGGATTTTAAGGACAGACAAAAGGAATTATTTTTTCACACAGCATATAATCTGTGGAATTCACTGCCACAGGATATGATTGTGGCCTCCAACTTGGAAGGCTTTAAAAGGAGAGTGGATAAATTCATGGAGGACCAGGCTATCAGTGACTACTAATCAGGATAGATATCTGCTACCTCCAGTACCGGGGGTAGTACGGTATGCCTCTTTAAATCAATTGGAAGGGAGCACATGCAGGATGATGCTATTGCAGTCTTCCTGCTTGTGGGCTTCCTAGAGGTAGCCACTGGTGGCCACTGAATGAACAGAATGCTGGACTAGGTGGGCCTTTGGCCTTATTCAACATGGCTCTTAATGTTCTTAAACTGAACCGTTTCTCAACTTCACCCTCGTGGGTCAAAAGCTTTTCCCAATGGGAGTAACCACTTTGTAGCTGAGCCTCAGTTATCATAAATAAACCCTAAGGGGAGATTTGATTCCCCTTTTCCCAGACAGGTTACCTCAGATGATTACATTTCACTGGAACCTAATTCCACAATTGACAGGATTATTACCAGGTTCAAGGTTGTTCTTTTAACACACAGAGCTCCTGTCTACAAAATCTGTATGTGCAAGTTAGGTCTATTGAGCCCTTAACAGGATGCTAAGCTGACACTCTTATCCAGAGCAACCAGTTCCCCTGTCTGAGGATTTTTCTCCCTCCCCCTTCTTAAACTGAGGTGTCTATAAAATCTGTATGTGCAAGTTAGGTATATTGAGCCCTTAACAGGATGCTAAGCTAACACTCTTATCCAGAGCAACCAATTCCCCTGTATGAGGATTTTTTCTCCCTCCCCCTTCTTAAACTGAGGTGTCTCACCCCCTCCCAATCACTTGGAATTGCAAGAGACTAAAATCATTGGGACTGGTTCAAAGCCCTGGAGAAGAGGTGGGACTTTGGGGGATGATTGCCATAGCAAGCTGTCTAGTAAACTTGATGGCTGCAGTTATTTTTCTGTAAGAAGAAGAGATTACTGACAGGGGGTGTGCACTAGAAAAAAAATAATTGTACTTCTCTATGGGGATGTCAGGACGGACATAATTATTAGCAGTAAATATCAGGAGTATGGTTGTCATACTGGAAAGCCATTCTGGAACTATCAGAACAATACTCCCAATAATTAACAATAAAGATAAGTATGCCTTTCCTCAATCCCATGCAGAATTAAAATAGGGGAAGGAGAGAGAGCAAGGAAAGGCCTCCAGTTAATTGGCAGTGCATGGGCCCTTTAAAATTTAAATAGTTTCCCCATTGACTATAATGGCCTCATAGGGTATAATGGAGCCAGAAAAATTCAGGATTCTCAAAAAACCCTGAATCCAAACACCATACCAGTATTAGAATTCTGTTTTCCCCCCCAGAAATCCTGACTTTTGGTGGGCGGTATAATATACCAAATCCAAAAAATCTATTTTTTAAAAAGTTTTTTTTTAATTTCAATTTACAAACATAAAATATAAACTATAATCATTTATATTCAAAAATTATACATTTATGTGGAACTTACTTAAATTTACTTTTAGAATTTCACTGCTATTTAAATTCTTCATTCCATCTTTTCAGTCCATCCCATATCTAATATTTTATTATAAACATATATTACCTAACTCTTTCCTTCTGTCATTCTCTGTTTTAACTTAATTTTGTTCTTGATTTTCAGCTGTATAGTTGAAAAAAAACTTTCCATTTTAAAGTTCTGTATAAAGTCGGTCTGTTATTTTTTTTAAAAAATGTGTGTGCACACCCCTACATGGAACTCCAGAGGTCAGCTCTGCTGCTCATTATTTTCTATGGGCCTGGCCTCCAAATCTGGTGGTGGTTCAGTCTACTGTATATTACAAATAATGTCCCTTAAAATTTTAAAGGGGCATTATATTTAATGGTGCCAGCAGCAGCCAGCCCACCAGTAGGCTTCCCTCCCTCACAGGCAGCAGGAGTTGCAAGGGAGGAAGGAAAGCCACCCCGTCAATTGGAAATAGTGAATAGAGGCTTAATGGGATGTTATTTACCAGGTGGTGTTATTTATCTCTGTGCCATGAAAAGATTCACTTTCCCATTTCCACACATTAAGCTTCTATTAAAGAGACAGGCCATTTCCCTTCAGGCCTTGTGACAGTCCTAGTTCTATACCTATCTTTGTTGCCGCAGGACAAGTCCAAACTGAGTAGTCTTTGTGGTGAAGCTACTGCCACTCAGCTCATTTTGTTTTAGGGCTGCTTTAAAATCCTTTAACATCCCCATAGCCTCTTGTTTTTCATCCATCTCTGGATAAAAAGTGGCCACACTGAAAACACTTGCTCAGTTACACACAAATATATAAGGCAAGGCATTGCCTTTCTCCCTCTGCTACATGTTTTCCTTCTCCTGAATTAATGTACCTTTCCCCCAGTTGCTTCTAGCAGCCATTCACACTGCCCAGTACCAGTTTCCAATGGAAATTTTCTCCTTACAACATGCTTACACAATGCCCTCACCAAGGCTTACAGGAGATGGTGGAACCTGACTGATACTGTGATGATTATTTGAGAGGAACAAATGTTCTGCTAAAGTCTGAAGGCTGTACACTGTGCTTTAATATACTCCTCTGACACTTTCCAAGTAACTGTTTTCATCTGCATGTAATGTTTCTTTGGTGCTTACCTAACCACTTAGTTTAATTTATGACCCCTGTGCTTTCTAAATGTTTAATTAAATTAGTGATTAGAGTTGACTCGTGAACTTAAAAACCTGAAGCGGTAAACCAATTGCTCACTACAGCTGCCTTCCATATAATTAGCACTGTTCATTACCACCAATTGCCAGCAGTGGTCTGAAAAGCTTGTAAAGCAAGCACTTGAGAAGGTTTGGCTTTGCAAGATAAACACCCATCATACATCACAGGAAGAACTTACATGTTTCCGTCACCATCATAGGTCCACTTAGTGCTGCCGATACCTTCATAGGTTGAGGCCCAGTAATACAAACATGCATTAACGTGTAAGATAAACATTAGGTATCCAGTTGTTCTAATAACCCTGTAAAGAATAAATGTACCTATTTTATAGACATCAACCAAGTCTGCAGAAAATGCCAATGTGAGAGACCCAAAAGCTGATGTTCAGTAGACCTTTGCTATTGGCAGGGATCCTGTTCCTGGCGTCACTGTGATCAGTGAAATTTACCAATACTGAAAGGCAGAGGGGTCTGCTGTCTCCCAGGACCAAAACAACCACATCTTCCACAAAATGCAACAATGTGATAATTATGATGATGGAGTGGCAGAAATAAAAGCAGACTTAATACCAATAAAAGTGTTAACTAGTGTTTTATTCATGTGCAGCACCTCCCCCTGCTGTTTTTCTCCTGTACACCACACTCTTCATTGTTTTTCTTTTCAGTGGCATAATTAAGGATGTGTTAAGAAGTGTCATACTACAGAATGTGGTTGTGATGTGGACCATAAATAAGTGAAATCATAGGTAGTTCATTCATGAACTATGAGGGTCTCTGGATATGTCAGACTCTATCACCTACTAGCATCTGCAGCACTTACCTATAGATGTATGCTTTTGACATGAGAGACTCTAGTCGGTCATTGAACTCAAAGAATGTGAGATGCTGAAATGGGAATCAAAGAAGAGACACAATGATATCCAACAACTATGTATTTTAACATTAAGATTTCAGCATGAACCCATTGTTCCCTTATTACTAAGTCCTTTAACAATTTTGGTCTAAAAACAACCACATTGTGAAAGTGAAAGCAAAAACAAATAGTTGACATTTTTCAATACTGGTTTTTTTTAGGGATGAATTATGGAGAACACTTTTCCATTTAGTGGGCTCAGTGATCTTGATAAATTATAAACACAGTGATATTTTATTCAGTCAACCAAAATGCCTTCCACATGGGCAGAATAAAGTTTTTTGGTTGTCTCCATTTGTTAAAGGTGACAGTCTGAATAATTACTTTTTAAAAAGTATTATTTGAAATTATTAATTTGAAATTAATTTAAAGAAATGGGCAAAGGAGAACAAAAGTATATAGAATGCATTATAAAATGCTAAAAATGAAAGGTCCAATAAATTCCTGATTTTTCTTGCTGACAACTTCGTTTTCCAGAAAGTGGAGAGGGAAACAAGGGGATCTGCTAACCTGGACTTGATTCTTACCAACAGGGAAGAACTAGTTGACAAGGTGAAAGTAGTGGGCACCCTGGGTAGTGGTGACCATCTAATTTTGGAATGTACCATCTTGGGGAAGGTAAAAGCTGTACATACAGACATATAGGTTGTAGGAAAGCAAATTTTGACAAACTTAAAGTTATGCTGGGCAGAATCCCATGGTCAGAAATACTTAAGGAGAAGGGAGTTCAAGAGGGATGGGAGTTTCTTAAAAGTGAAATACTGAGGGCACAATCACAAACGATTCCTATGAGAAGAAAAAATGGGAGAAGCCTAAAGAAGCCAAGGTGGCTCCATAAACAGCTTTCTAAAGACTTGAGACATAAAAAAGACTCATTCAGAAAATGGAAGGAGGGCCTCATAACCAAGGATGAATATAAACAAATAATCAGTGCTTGTAGAAAGAGAAAGCTAAAGCTCAGTATCATCTTAGGCTAGTGAGAGATGCTAAAAACAACAAAAAAGGTTCTTTTCTTATGTTCAAAGTAAGAAAAAGAGCAAGGACATGGTAGGCCCATTGCGGGGACAGGAAAGTGAAATTGTAACAGGTGATGAAGAGAGGGCAGATCTGCTCAATTCCTACTTTTCCTCAGTCTTCTCTTGCGAGGGAAATGGTGCTCAATATGGCAAAAAACAGAACAAATGATGAGGGAAGGGAGTTGCATCCTAGGATCGGCATAGGGGTAGTACATAAACACCTCGTTTCTTTAAATGAAACTAAGTACTCGGGCCAGATGAACTGCATCCAAGGGTACTAAAAGAACTTGTGGATGTAATTTCTGAGTCTCTGTCCATTATTTTTGAGAATTCTTGGTGAAAAGGTGAGGTGCCAGAAGATTGGAGGTAGGCAAATGTTGTCCCCCATCTTCAAGAAGGGGAAGAAGGAGGATCCAGGTAACTACCGACCTGTAAGTTTGATATCTATACCTGGGAAAGTTTTAGAACAAATAATCAAACAGACAGTCCTTGAGCATTTAGAAAGGATGGCTATGATTACTAAGAACCAGCATGGGTTTCTCAAGAATAAGTCATGTCAGACTAACCTAAGGATGATCTTAACAGGCTGAAAAACTGGGCTAAAACAAATAAAATGAATTTCAGTGGGGATAAATGTAGAAGTTCTGAATTTTGGTAGGAAAAATCAAATGCATAATTATAGATTGGGGGAGACTTGTCTTGGCAGTAGTATGTGCGAAAAGGATCTAGGGGTCTTAGTAGATGATACACTGAACATGGTCAGTGTACCAACAGAAGTATAGTGTCCAGATCATGCGAAGTGATGGTACCATTGTACTCTGCTCTGGTTAGACCTCACCTAGAATATTGTGTTCAATTTTGGGCATCACAATTTAAGAAGGATATAGACAAGCTGGAATGTGTACAGAGGAGGGCAACGAAGACGGTGAGGGGTCTGGAGACCAAGTCATATGAGGAAAGGTTGAAGGAGCTGGGTATGTTTACCCTGGAGAGGAGATGACTGAGAGGTGATATGATAACTATCTTCAAGTATGCCTCAGTGCTTAGTTCTTGTGGCCCTTTCTTACACGCCCAGGGAAATGCAGATTGCTACTTTGAGGTCAGGAAGCAATTTTTCTCCAGGTCAGTTTGGCCAGGGATCCTGGAGGTTTTTTGTCATCTTCTGGGCATAGAACAGTGGTCACTGTGGGTGTGGAGGGGGACGTATTTGTGAATTTCCTGCATTGTGCAGGGGGTTGGACTATATGACTCTGGAGATCCCTTCCAACTCTATGATCCCATGATTCTATGAAATGGAAGAGAGGAGAATATTGTAAGCCACCTTGGGCCCCCATTGGGGACAAAGGCAAGGTATAAATGAAGTAAAACTGTGTGGACGTCACCAATTTGTGTTATACTGCCCAAAGAAAGGTTGACATCTTCCTATGCTTAGTGATGAGAAAAGGTTCTCTCACTGAGCGTGACTTTGTATCTCTTTGGTTTCATTTCTCAGCTTTTTAAAAATAATAAGTGTTTTTTATTATTTTGAACCATATATACAACAGTACATTCAGAACACATATTAATACCATGCAATAATCAACATTCTCAACCCGTAAGAGCCTTTTAAAAATATAACAGATCTTTGCAGCTTTTTGGTGATTGGTTTGAAGGGTTACTTGTATCATGTACATACATTGAATGGTTTTTATACAGTAGTTAGACATAGTAAGAAAGCTTTAGCTATGCTGGCTGTTCTTGAAAATGTACTCTTCCTCTCCTACTGTGGATGACAATGACTATTTGGAAATAGTTTGAGCTATCACTTAGATCCTATGACCTCATTCCCCTCTCAGTTCTCGCTGGCCGTTGTGGAGGCTTTCCTCCCCTGCGGTGTTCACTTCCTCTGCCAATAGTACTTCTGTGTGAATATAGGCTTCTGCAAAAACATCGATCTTGCAAATGAACTGAGTGTGGCACTGGAGAAAAGTCTTCATAGTGGCTGGAGAGAAGTGCGAGGGAACAATGTCATAGGGTCCTCCAAGCCAATGACTTCTCTGTTCCAGGACAAACAAAACAATAGACAATCTCTTACCTTCATACACCGGTTTGCTCTAAATACAGGCCTAAATCCAAACATGGTGTATAAAAGGTCGAATGGTAGTATTGAGAACACATCAAACTGTTGAAAAACATAGTGCAGTTATAACATGAAATTAGTTTATGTGCTTAAAAACTTCAATGGAAATTCTAAAATTTAAAAAACCTAGTATGTAAAAGAAGATAGCTCTATGTAGAATGGAGAACAACATCATCACTGAGAGAACCAGGAGTTTTATATAAATATGTACAAAATGAAAAAGAGAGGAATACACACACACACACACACACACACACCTAAGTCTAATATATTTGGACTGCGGTGGCTCAGAGGTTAAGATGCTGAGTTGCAGACTGGAAGGTCTGTAGTTCAGCAGTTCGAGACCCTGGTGCCACGTGACAGAGTGAGCTCCCATCTCTGGTCCCAGCTCCTGCCAACCTAGCAGTTTGAAAGCAAGAAATTGCAAGTAGATAAATAGGTACCACTTTAGTGGGAAGGTAACAGCGTTCTGTGCGCCTCGGCGTTTAGTCATGCTGGCCACATGACCACGGAAATGTCCTTGGACAATGCTGGCTTTTTGGCATGGAAACGGGGATGAGCACTGCCCCCTAGAGTTGGATTCAACTGGCTTTCGAGCAAGGGAAACCTTTACCTTTACTTTAATTTATATTTATACAGAAAAAGACAAATATCCTTAGATACACTCTATTAGCTTTTCTTTAACCCCATCAAGTGAACTGTGTGAATTCCAGTATTAAATAAAATAAGACTAATTTCAACAGAGTATTTTTTTGGGTGGGGCAGTCTTTCCTTTCCCTCAGATGTTTATCCATCACCATTATACACCAAACTGAGCAATAAGTCATTTCTCTCTGGACTCTCCAGGAAAAGATCAACAACCTCAGATATGCAGATGATACCACTCTAATGGCAGAAAGTGAAGAGGACCTCAAGAGCCTCTTGCTCAGGGTAAAAGAGGAGAGTGCAAAAGTGGGCTTGAAGCTCAACATAAAAGAAACTAAGATTATGGCATCCAGCCCCATCACTCCTTGGCAAATAGAAGGGGAAGTCATGGAAGTAGTGACAGACTTCATGTTCCTGGGATCCCAGATCACTATAGACTGTGACAGCAGCCATGAAATTAAAAGACGCCTGCTCCTTGGGAGGAAAGCGATGGCGAACCTGAACAGCATGATAAAAAGTAGAGGCATCACCCTGCCAACAAAAGTCTGCATGGTCAAAGCAATGGTATTCCCAGTAGTCATGTATGGCTGCGAGAGTTGGACTATAAGGAAGGCCGAGTGCCGAAGAATAGATTCTTTTGAACTATGGTGCTGGAGAAGACTCTTGAGAGTCCCTTGGACTGCAAGAAGATCAAATCAGTCAATCCTAAAAGAAATCAACCCTGACTGTTCCCTGGAAGGCCAGATAATGAAACTGAAGCTCAAATACTTTGGCCACCAAATGAGAAGGGAGCACTCACTGGAGAAGACCCTGATGCTGGGAAAGATTGAAGGTCAAAGAAGACGGGGACGGCAAAGGATGAGATGGTTAGACAGTGTCATAGATGCAACGAACATAAAATTGAGCAAACTTCAGAGGACGGCGGAAAACAGGAGGGCCTGGCGAGATCTTGTCCATGGGGTCGTGAAGAGTCGGACTCGACTGTGCGACTGAACAACAACAACAACAACTCTGGACTCACTTGCTGTTTCCACACCTGTGCTATCAACATTTTCACTGCAATTATCACATCCATAACCACATTGTTATACTAGCTCTAGTTGTTCTAGCTATACTAGTTATTCTGCTGGAAGTATCACCTAATAAATAAACCACTGGAGGAAATTCAAGTCTATGACCTATTATTGTTTTAATATTCCTATGTTTTAATAATCCAGATCCCCCCACCCAACACAATTCCACCACATATGTAATAATGATACTCAGGATTTATTGTGCTCTTCCTGTTTCTGACACATGTATTTTCATTTTCCTGTGGACTAGAACTGCTGAAGTTGTCAAAGAGAAATAGCTGCTATGAACCGAGCTGCTAATTAAGTGCTGGTGGATTCTCCTGGTGCTTATGAATCCACAGGGAGACCAATTATTCCCTACTCATAGGCTAAGACAAGAAACAATGATTTAAAGTAGAGAAGATAAGTCTGTGGTTGGCAAGTAATGTTAAAGCGTGGTTTCTGAGAGGAGGTAGAAATTGGGCCCAGATTCTCCTTGCCACATCTCTGACACTGAACTGTCAATGTTAAGTAAGTTGATAGTCTCCATCTTTGAGAGAGTTCAAGAAAAGTCAAGCAAATCTCCCAGTATTCTTAGTTTCATGGCTAAAATCAAATAGAAAAATACCCAAAATATTAATATTTCAGTATGCAAATATATACAATATAATTAACACATTTCAAAAATATTTTTCATAGGCACTGTGAATAACTGACCATATCAATATCAATGTGACAGTAATGACAGTAGTTACTTCTCTACTATTATAGCATCGGCTGGTTCCCATTTATCCCAGTTGTTCAAGGTAGCTCAGCAACTGCTGATGCCTAAACCTGACCTTCTAATGTCCCAGGCATAGACAATCAGCTGTTATTCCCTACTCATAGGCTAAGACAAGAAACAGTGATTTAAAGTAGAGAAGATAAGTTAAAACATGCAACGATTAGGTGATGGAGCAACTCGATGGTATTAACCAGCAACTGACCTTGCTGAATCAAAACTTTGCACCCCAGCAATTACAACTGGCAGAAACGATGAAGAAGGTGGAATAAATGATCGTGAGAATTAAAGAGATAGACACCGCAAACAAGAAAATGAAGAAAAGAATGGGGGAAGTTGAAGCAAAACAAAACTTCCAAGAAAACCGTTTGCTACAGCTACAAATGGAAAAAGCTAACATGATCCTCAGATTCCAGGGAGTTCCTGAATCGCAAACGGAGGATCTGAGGAAACTGCTCATCGAGATCATAGCTCCAGTAATAGGCTTAACAGCGGATGAACTGGTAAAAAAGATGGAGACTGCTTATAGGGCATACTCCAATTATATTTAAAAAAATAGCCTCCCTGGAGAAATTGTGGTCAGATTCTCAAGAAGACAGAACAGAGATGCTATTTTAAAAGCGACTTCAGCAACTGCACTGAAAATGGGGAATATAAACATTAAAACTTTAAAAGACATTCCATTTGAAATTCGCCAAAAGAGGAAAAGCTATAAGGACTTAATTTCTTTTCTTCAAACCAATGGAATTTCGTACAGGTGGGCGATCCCAGAGAGTGTCATCTTTAAAATCAATGACAAAAGAGAAAAGATTGACTCCACTTTCAAAGCCAAAGAATTTCTGAGATGCCAGTTGGGAATGGAAGAGGAATCCAAAGATGAAGTATCGAAATCAAGTGACTCTGCCACCTCTAGAACGGAAGAGGACTCTGCTGTAGAAACAGGTGCAGGCACAACTAAAGTTACATATGATTTCAGAGACAGAAAACTGAAGTAAAGGCAGAAGGACTCTGAAAATTGCCTTTTGAAGCAACTAATACGAAGATGCTCAGAAAGCTCTCTCACACAACTAACATACTAACATTGAAGCCGAGACAAACAAGAACTCTACAAGTATATTGTTATATTAACACTTTTATTAATAACATTTAGATTAACATGGATATGATCTCCTCCTCTTGGGTTTTTAGTGTAGTGTGGTTATCTATCCTTTATCCTTAGATGTTAGCCCTCTCCCTTATATTTTCTTTGTAGTTTTGTGTAGAAACTGTGTATTTAATATATATTAAAAAGTTAGTCTAGCTTTTCAAAAAAAAAGAAGTTCAAGGCAGCTTACAATTTTTAAATAAATTATTATACAAACTCAAAATTGAAATTATATCAACAAATCTATTTTAGCACCCATTTATATTCAGTTCCATTTTATTCATTTATTTATTCAAAATAGTTGCTTCCCATCATTTTAAGAAGAGTCAAAGATATTTTACCATACAAAAATACAGTTCATTAAAAAGCACAGACTGCAAGCAATAGATAAAAATAGCAGATACATCAATGTACAAGCAGCATAAAAAAGCAGAAAAATAAAATTTCATATTATACTGTGATATGTACACTTGTTATTGTAAGATTTTATTCATTGATTTATTACTTATGCATTACCTGTTTTCTGCAGTGAAGCCCAATCCATGGATATTTACTTGGAAAGTTGATTTATACCTCAGCATTCCTAATTTATTTCCTACTTACCCGAAATTTCACCGTAGTCCAGTAGTACTTCCTCATATCTTCTCTGTCTGTCTACAGTTGGAAATGGAAAGAAGCGGAACAAAACCCTTTGCTTAGTAAAACAAAACAAAGCTATGAATCTGCTAGTACAATGATAATCATTTGCTTTTATAACCACTAAAATCAATTCTTTTACAGCTGCAAATTGTTTAGGATCACCAAGAGGCTCCTGCACTATTTGGCTGATAGGAATGCTTAGTTCATGCACAAGTAACAGAACTGATTTAGAATACTGGATCCCAAACACCAAGCAACAATACCTATCTAGATCAGGGGTCCTAAACCTGTTGAGCCTGTGGGTGCCTTTGGAATTCTGACACAGCGTGGTGGATGCAGCCACAAAATGGCTGCCATAAGAGGTGGTGAGAACCACAAATTGTTAGGGAGTAAAGTTATGCAGAAGTGCTGTTTAACAGGATGCCTTTTAAAATGAACACATTGTTAACCTGTGGTGACAGTTGTTGCCATAGCAACATTTTTAAAAAATCTGCACAGTCATTCAGAACTCCTATGGACAATTGAAGCCTGTGGGGCAAAAGCCCCATCTGGCTCAGCCAACTTTCTGAAAACACTTGATGGCACTAGGAAAGGTGTTGGCAAGGCACCATGGTACCCACGGACACCACATTGAGATTGTTGCAGGATGTGCAATATGTCGGTGGCTTGCTCACAGATGCAATGCAGGCTTGTTAAACCATGCTCAGCTGAGATCTCATGGTCCAAAAGTTAGCTTGGGGCATTATGCATAGATAGATATGGAAAACATAATCTTAGGCTATGCCTTAGTCCAGTTAACATCAATTATGAGGCTTCACTGGAAGTATTAGAACACATTTGTTATTTTGTTGGTTTCAGTGGGAAATAACTGGGCAATCCTAAATGGAGTTACACCCTTCTAAATCCATTGAATTAAACGGGTTTAGAAGAAGTTAACTATGCTTAGTTGTGATTTACAGTGCAATTGTAATGTTAGCTGGATTAGGGTCTTTAACTACACAAGGAGAAATGCTCTTCTGTCCAAGCACAGGTTCTTTTTCCCCCCATCATAACATTTGGGTTGTGCAAATGGTTTGGAACACAAACAAGCCAGATTTCCCCTTGACTATTTTGTATAATACACTAGCTAGGGAGCAAGCCCAAGCAGGTCCACTCAGAAATGACCCCTCTGTTAGTCAATAGGGATTACTCCCAGGATGTGGCTTTAGGACTGCAGCCTAAGAATTCCTTCCAGCACCACTTCAGAGGCATGGGAGCCACTACAGAGTGTCTGATTTCAAATATTATGAGAAGAGCATGGCACTCTGAGGTCAAGTGAGAGGAGCTGATGATACATCTACTTCCATATCAGTACCTCCCTCCTTGGAGTCTGGACAACACTGGTGAAGAAAGGGACCTCATCATGGTCTTCTCTTACATGACCTGGGGCTTCCAGTGTTCTGAAGCAGGAAGGAAACAGACAACTACCACACTGCTGACGTAATGTCACAAGAGCGATTTCTACAAAGTTAAGGATATTTACTTGGAAACAGGAAGCCCATGTACGTAGGTAAACATAGTTTCCTGACGTTTTAGAGACTATAACATGTCATGATTGTAGGTTCTAAATTCTCTTTATATCCCACGTTTTCAGTTTAAATGAACTTTTAAATGTTCAGGAGGACGGGAGAGAGAGTGTGGTTGATGCAAATTTAAATCTGTTATGTATTGGGACCGAACCATTCCAAGTATGTCACACCAGAGACTGGCTGAGCTTGGAGTACAAGAACAATAGCCTACCAGGACTCTGGAAGTCACAAATCAAGTAGCAATATTATGTAAATAGCCTATCACTGAGAGTGGGTTTTTGGGTGTGGCAACTGCATGCTATTTAACAGAGCTGCGGCTCTGGGGTCTTGTCTTTGCTCTTGCTGAAATCTCTCCTTACATATAATCCTGTTTTGGCTCCCTCAGCTGCCACTCGGAAGGTCTGCCAATCCCCTGGCTGCATTGCCTCGCTGCATTGTCTCAGTCTCGTCCACAGAGCCAGTGGCCAGCATCTTGGCCTCAGTCTGGACAGAGCCGGTGAAGGGGATGGACGCTCCCCTGGGCAGAGGCTTATATAAGGAGATTGGCTGTTTCCAGCTCTCCCATTGGCTGTGCAGTGTGGTTCCATCAGCCATTAGGCCATCAGTACTCGTGTGCCATTGGCCAGGTGCTGGGTCTGCTCCTCTTCCCCGCCCATTTTCACTTCAGCCTCTGTTCCCTGTCAGATTTACTGGCAGATAGCTCTCTCTACTGAGGAAGAAGACACTTCTCTTGGCTCCTGCGTAAGAATAACTTTCCCCTCAGTGGCTGTTGGTAGGCAACCAAGCTTGCTTCTGTCAGTAAAAAGACAAAGGACTTTCAGAATAACCCCCTCCCCCACCCACTGCCAGCTTGGCCACTTTCCTGTCAGAATAAAATGAAAACGGTTCTCTCTCCTTTTTGGCTACACCATGGCTGGCTGGCTGGCTAATGAAGTGGGCCAGTGACCATCAAACCATTCTCTTCAACCCCCTGCTGTGCGGCTGACTTTCTCCTAGGGTTGCCAGTCTCCAGGTGGGACCTGGAGATCTCCTGCTGTTACAGTTGATCTCCAGATGACAGAGATCAGTTCCCCTGGATAAAATGGCTGCTTTGGAGGGTAGAACCTATGGCATTATACCCTGCTGAGTCCTTCCATCCCCCCCCAAAGGCTGCCCTCCACAGGATCCACCCCCCAAATCTCCAAGCATTTCCCTAATCAGAGCTGCCAACTGTACTTTCTCCTCAGTGCCTGTTGCTAGGCAACCAAGCTTGGTTCTGTGAGTAAAAGGCCCTTTCCACACCTATGTTGGCCTTTGGGAGAAAACTCATTGGGGCCAGTCCTGATAGGGTTGCCAACTCCAGGTGGGAAATTCCTGGAGATTTGAGGGATGGAACCTGGAGAGGGTGAGGCTTGAGGAGGGGTGGGACCTCAGACAGGTACAATGCCATAGATTCCACCCTCCAAGCCAGCCATTCCCTGATGGGGAACCATTGTTGCCAATCTCCAGGTGGGGGCTGGAGATCACTCAGAATTACAACTGCTCTCTAGGAGGGAAGGGGGAGGAGATGGAAAGCTGAGGCCAGGGGACAGATAACGGTAGGTTGACGCCTGGTTGGAAGGAGATAGGGTTGTCAGTTCCAGGTTGGGAAATTCCTGGAGATTTGAGGGGTGGAGCCTGGAGAGGATGAGGTTTGAGGAGGGGTGGGACATCAGACAGGTAGAATGCCATAGACTCCAGCCTCCAAACCAGCCATTCCCTCCTGGGGAACCACTGTTGCCAATCTCCAGGTGAGGGCTGGAGATAACTCAAAATTACAACCACTCTTCAGGTAGTAGAGATCAGTTCCTCTGGAGAAAATGGTGGACTCTGTGTCATTATACCCTGCTGAGGTGGCAACAGCAAATTGTCACTGAGTGCCCAAAGTCGGGGCACTCTCCCAGAGCCTCTTTCTAGATACCGTTGTATTTATTTCCACAACAGGCCTTATTCCTAGTCACAAATAAAATTGAGCTGATCACTAGACTTGAGCCTGCTCACCCATCGAACCCACTATTTAACAAAATCCTTGTTTGAAACAGAATTACAGGGTTAATAATCTTCACTGGGATATTGGAAACAAAGATCCCATAGAGGAGTCAGTCACTGAGGAGGAAGATGGATCTATAGGAGTGCAAAACAAGTCATCCAAAGTTGCATAAATGTGCTCTGATTAGCACTGGAACTGTCAACATTGCATCTATTAAGAATGATCAGATGTTTATTTTAAAATGTTCCTCTATGGGAACGGATGCTATTCCCTTACCAAAGAAATCTCATCAGAAGCTGCTAAAGAAATTTATACTTCTGTTATGTGTCACCACGTGAGTTCCATCTTTTCATAAGAAATCCATGAATGGTTGGAGCTACCCTCTACAATGAAAAGGAGTAGGAAGTTTCTTGTGTGTAAGCTCTTTGTGCGTGTGTGTGTGAGTGTATATGATAACTCATGTGTCCACATCAGATTGCCAGATCAGAATTTGTGCTATCACTTTGGTGGTGGTGGAAAGTACTGTCAGGTCACAGCTGGCTTATGGCAACCCCACAGGGTTTTCAAGGCAAGAGCTGAACAGAGATGTTTTGCCATTGTCTGCCTCTGCACAGTGACCCTGATATTCCCTGATGGTCTCTCATTCATGTCCTAAGGAGGGCTGACCCTACTTAGCTTCTGAGATCTGATGAGATCCATTTAGCCTAGTCCATCCAGGTCAGGGTTCCTTTACTTTAGGCCTTTTTAAAAAAGCTTCAAATTATACTCCCACCCCACCATGCAGAGAAGTGATTCTATAAAGTGCACACATCTTTTAATCAAGTTGCTTCCAGTTGCTTTCCATTTTATTGGGGCTGTAAATGGAAAACTAAAGGCTGTATTTAGACATGAATTCAAATGTCTGGTTTGATAGCAGCAAATGCAGCTTGTTGGTGTGCTCCCCCCCTCCCGCTTATGCACAGAGTACCAATGAACCTTTTTTGGCCTTGAATAGATCTATAATTAGCCATGATGTCTGAATGCGAGCATCTGGGCAAATACGGAGTTTGTCTCCTCTTGACAAAGGGAGGGTTTCAATGGTGGTTTAAGGGGAGGAAACAGCCCCCCATTTTCCCAGGTGCAAATAAATAAATAAAATTGAAAAGTACTCAGAAACGTGGAGTGATTTCAGCAAGAGTACTTTATTAAGCAGGAACAAGACAAAGTAAGCCGGCTCGCAGGCCGGTATATATGCACAGAAAACCCACCACCAAAACACGCCCCTATTCACCCTATAGGTTATTTACAGTAGCCGAGAGTCCCATAGGCTCTCGGCTGCGGACCTGGCCCTCTGATTGGTGCGGGCTAGGATCCGCTTGGCTATTGTTCTCAAGGAATGAAGCTTTAGGCTTGTGCTTGACCGCATGGCCCAACGGTCGCGCACGTGGTAATGGCGGAGT